AGCTTCCTTCTCCTGGCTGGGTCACACACAGGTTGTGGTTAATGCCCATCTGGCTGCAGCTGCTCTGGGGCCTCTGATTAACGGACCAGGACAGGAAATGGAGCCAAAATGCACCATCCTCTGGAGCCATGGCAGTTAGGAAGCCTCATCACTGCAGCCAAAATCTAACAGGAATCTGGAACAGCTGTTGGCAACCAGACTGGCTCCCTTCTGGCTGACACCAGCAGTATGAGGGTGATCCTGAATTTTCATCTGTTCCTATTTGGCCCAAGCTTGCAAAACTGCATCTTCTCTTTCTTTCACATTACCCTCATTTAAGCCTAGAAGCTCATTGTGACTTATCTCTTATGTCCAGTGTCACCCAATGCATCAGCCCTGAAAGACTGCAAGTTTGTGTAACTGTTCATAGGGAAATGACCTCCCTTTCTGCTTTTTATGAAAAATTCTGAAAGGCCTGAAAATATTTTGTGCTTTTCCCTTTGGAGGTTGTGGAAAGATGAGCTGTACTTTTGCTGAACACCTTTCATGTCTCTGTCTTGAGCTCAAGCTTTAGTCAAAGGTGAATCTGAATGGGCATCATTACATCTAGTATCTTGGCAGTTTAGTGGATACAAGCAAAGCTGCAGCATAAAACTCACTTTCACCCTCAGCCAGTTCTCTGATGATCTGACTTAATTCTTAACAAAATCAGAACTTCCCACATTAACAAAACTCTGTTTCCATTTAAGCAGCTGGGAGGACAGTGAAGCCTTTCAGACCTCCTGATATTCTGCGATATCAAAAGAACATTCCCCCCCTGCCTCTCTCCGTCCCATGCCTGGTCTCTGCAGATGCCACCAGCCTGTCTAAGCCACTTGTGCACCCTGTAGACACTCAGCTCCAGTCAGTACCAGTTGGTGAACTGGCTGGTTCAAGTAGTAACCAAGAACAGAGCAGGTTTCTAGCTGCCCTTTCTGCCTCTGTTTTAACCTTCCTTCATGCCCAACTTCCTATTCCCTCAGACTGAGCTGGGGGAGACACGTCAGGTGGGGATATTTCTACTCCAGGCTTCACAGAAGCAAAGAGACCTCCCAACACCCACAGCCTGGCCCTGAGCAGGTCTGACTGACACTGACACCTTTCCCTCCACCACACCCCTGTGCAGGCAAGTACCGGGAATTCCACCGGCTGTACGGGGAGAAGCGGTTCCCTGAGGCTGCCAGGCTGCTCCTGATGCTGATGACAGCTCACATTGCTCCCTGCTCCTTCTGGATGACACTGCTGATGGATGCCCTTCCCCTGCTGGAGCAGAAAGAGGTGAACAGGGCAGGCTGGTCACGCCTGACAAAGCTCCCCACACTTTTTCTTCTCTTCCTAACATGGTGTTTCAGAGTGGTGACCCCCCTTTCTGCCCCTAGGCAAGGACTTGCACTTCCAGTGCAAAGGAACAGCTTGTGCCAGTTCCAGAACTGCACAGACATCCAAGTGTCCTACCAGTGGGAGCACACGGGAGCCAGGACAGGATGATCAACTCATAATTTCGTTCCCTGCTTTTAGAAAACAGCAGGAGAAGTTTAATGGTGGGGGTAGTTGGATTACATGTGGGCTCAAGGATCATGAAGGTCTTTTCCAACCTTAATGATTCTATAAGACAGACATGCTGACACTTGAAGTCCATACTTCATCCAGTTCCCTCTGGCTTGGAAGATTTTTCTCAGGTGCTTCTTTATCCTAAGCCCAGCTTTTGCTTTATGATCCACCAGGAAAATGAGAGTTTATCAGTTTCAGCCCCGGGAGCCCCAGATCTGACCTCAGAGCCAACTCTGCTTTGTGCAGGAGGTGGCACTAGAGACCTCCCAGCGGCACTTCCAGCCTGAATTACCCTCTGATCCTGATTTAAAGGGGTAGAACGATCTGTGGGAGTGTGTTCCCTTCCTCTCAGTTATCTTCCCAAACTGTGCAGTGTCCTTAAACTCGATGGTGTCCAGTAAATCCTCTCATTTCCACAGGTCATATTTTCAGCAGAGCAGACTTACGAGTTGATGCGATGCCTGGAAGACCTGACGGCAGGGAAGTCAGACAAGCAGAAATTCCAGGTAGCTCCTGTTTTGAGGACAACTGGATAAGGAATTGGTGGGGCTTTGGGGGAGGTCAGGGACAGCAAACTCTTTACATTCCTACACGGGGGCAGAAATGAGGGAGAGCCTGTGTCACGAGGCTGGTGCATGGTGTCCTTTTTCAAGGCCAGCCAGATGAGGCCTCATCAAGAGATACTTAAGTGTGGACAAAGCCCCTACAGGAGCAGTGCCACTCCTCTCTGTGCTGCTGATCTGTGGTGCTTTTCCAAGGTGAATACACAGGCAGTGAAAAGCTGAGGTGCTGCCATCTTGACAGCTCAAGCCATGAAACATTCTAGGCACAGAACAGAGCCATTTGCTCTTCATGCAAACCTCTGCAGCTGCCAGAAGGCTTGGAAATGCTTCTATGTTGAGCTAAAAAGTAGGAAATGTAGCTTTTACTCTTCTCCGGTACCTGTGATGGGTAAATATACCTGTACTCTTAGTGACCTGCATCCTGACTGTCCAAAACTCAGACAAAGAATCTACCAGCTGATGGCTGCTCTAGCAGTCTGACCCAAACTCTGCTTTTAGGATGATGATGAAGAGACTATGAAAGTGGAGATGCTGAGACTTGCTCTTGCACGAAATCTTGCACGAGTCATTGTCAAAGAAGGCACGTTGGAAGGATCCTGAAGACAGCAACATATGATTTACATGTCCTCTGTGGCTCACTGTACATAAACCTGACTACTTTTCTAAGAATAAACGCCTTGTTTTGCATATTGTGTGGGGATTTGTTCTTGTCTTCCGTAAACATAACCTTAAAAAGATGTAAAAGTAACTTGGAAGGAGGAGCTGCAGCAGAAATTCAAAGTTGCTTGTTCCAGCACGACCTGCCAACCCTCCCCGGTGGAGAAAACCTCATTCCCAAGGGCAACATTGCCATGGCTTTTTCAGTTCTTTCCCTTTAATGCCCAGGAGTTAAATGACACCCACCTTTTAATCCACAGGAGGTTAGAAAACAGCAGCTTCTCTGTTTTTGCTTAGTTTGGATGGTCTTGAGATGAGGGTCTGAGTTTTGGGCTCTCCAGAACCAGCTGTGTGCTCCAGGAACAGTCAGTAAGGGCTCTCCACAGAGCAGAGTAGGGAAAACCATTTATTGAACATGCAGCAGAACAAACGCGTTTGAGATGAACAGTTATGGCTGTTGGGTCTGAAGCAGGAACCTCACCCTACAGATAAGGAACATTCATGATTTTAATTTCCCAAGGTTTTCACAAGGCCCTTCCAGGCAGGCAGCCCAGGGCAGCATCCTGCTGGGCAGGGCACTGTGGGGGACACTGAGCACACAGCCATGCTGCAGAAAGCACTTGTGCTCTGCTGACCTCCTCCAAGTCACAGTGAATTCATGTGTAGGCATCTAGAGCAGTGACACCTGCTTCCTCAGGACGTGCCACCATGGCCAAAGCACTGTCCCCGTGCCCACGTGTCTAAGGTGCCGGCAAAAACATGTCTGAGGCAGAAAGAATTCTCTCCTTGTCCCCTAGCCTAGTCCAGCCATTTAACACTTGTTTTCTTTACAGACCCCAACAATGTGCCCATCCCTCTCACTTGCCTCTTAGGTCAGGGAGCTGACAAGGTTGGGGTCTCCATCAGCTTCCAACCACGAGTTTACAGCAAGCTCCTTGGCCAAGCTTTGATTCCATATTCAGGGGCTTCTACAGCTGCCTGGTTCCTCTGACTGGGACCTCAGGCCTTGGAACCCACGGAGTGCTTCACCTCTGGTGAGTTTTACTTAGCAACACAGTAAAGAAACTTCAGCTACAAGTAACTCAAAGCTGCATTTGCAGTGATAGGTTTTACAGCTGCCACCAATTCCAGCAGCACTTTCTCTGGAGTTTTCTTCCTACAACAAGCAGGCATCTCCTGATTATCTCAGGACTTGAGCTGACTGCTCACAGTTTAAGATGAGCTGTTGCTTGACAACACAGCTAGAAACACTGAGCGGGGTGTCCAAGGACCTGCCCTAGCTGTGCTTTTGTCAGTGGACGTTGAAAAAAACCCCACCCTGTTAATTCAAAAGAGTCTGTCTCAAAGCCAGCTGAGGCACCACTTGAGGTTGGAAAGCAAGAGGGAGAAGGAAGGGATTGCTGGAATCACCTTCTGGTGATTCAAACCCAGTTTCTGTGAGACTGTAGCTAGAAGGGTCATGCCCCCTCTTAGCACAAAACACTGATGTCCAGCACAACAGCTTTCCCCCTTGAGTCAATTGCACTTGTCCACTTCCTACAGGGAGCAAATAAACCAGGGCATTAAACCCAGCACATGCATCAGCACAGCCCAGTGGAGCTGCCTTGCCCTCCTTGTTTCTGTTTAGATATCCTATAGCTCTATTATTTACATCTTGTATTCCACTGTACTCAAGAAAACACAGTATTCAACTACAATAACAATACTGCCTGCATGAGGGGACAGCAGAGCCACCTCTCCTTATTCCTGGATTTAGTCAATGTACCTGATGGATGATTGTGAAGACACTTCTGCTCTCCAGGTCCTGTCCTCCACCAACACTGACTGCTCCTTTCCAGCCCCGTTTGCCACTTCACTACACATTTCCTCTTTTCCCCACACTGTGGAATGCAATGAAGGCATAAAAAAAACCCCAGTGTGACCATTTCTGTACAAAACTCAGCTTCAGCTGCCCAACACAGATACAAGAAGGAGGCAGTGAGCAGTATAAAATAAATACAGCTGAAATCCAGTGTCACACAGCACAGAGCGAGGAGCTACTTCCAGTGGCTCTTGGGAATGAAGCAGTGGGGGGAAGGAAGGGAGCCAAATACCATCTCAGTGTAAAAAATGAGCATTCCCTCAGGGAGCCAGTGTTATTGCTCACCATGCTTAGTGGGTCCAGCCTGGCGCTGAGGAGCAGGGCCCAGGGAGGGCACGTGTCTGAGGAAGCTCATGGTGGTACCACCACCCACCAGCCTGTAGGTATCTCCAGACAGCAGCACAGGAACAAAGCAACTAAATCCCCTTCTGCTGACAGGTCTGCCCTCAATATACAGTAACTTCAAGTTTAATAGAGGGGAGATAGAACCAGATTCACCCAGAGGTCAAGATAAAAGCCACCAGCACTTCTTGTAACCAGCTGCCACTCAGTTCATGCTTGGCACAGATGTCCCAGGACCCCTTTGACATGGGGCAAAACATTCTGGACGAAAGCTTCAAGCAGAGTGGTCAGAACATGTAAACAAAGCTGAACATCACCAGTGGATAGCATGTGTGTCCCTCCCCAGGTCACATTCATTCCAGTCCTGTGGGATCCTTCCCTGGTCCTGTCACAGAGTCTCTGGCAGTGTCCTAAGGTCATAGATGTCCCCACTGCTCTACTGGGGGAAACTGATCCACTTCACCGACCTCTGTGCTGGGCTGGTCTCCCAGTGTGAAGGTCAGTCTGTACCTCAGCCTCACCTTCTCCTGCAGGGGAGACAAAACCAGAGAGAAACATCAGAACAGCTCCTGGACAAAACGTGTCACTGTTACAGCTCTACAGGGAGCACAGGACCTATGTTGCACAGAGCAGGGGAAGAGGGCCAAGGTTAAGTTCCTGGAGCTGTACAGCTTATTTAGCAAACCTGAGTTATTTACCTTACAGGTTTTATGCCACAAAAAGCTTTATTGCTTAGCATGGAACAGTAGGGGGAAAGCATGAACAACCTGTGATAATAGTTGGCACATATCAGCAAGATTTGGACAGACTGGAGAGCTGGGCAAAGAGGAACCTAATGAGGCTCAACAAGAATAAGTGCAGAGTCCTGCAGCTGGGTAGGAGTAACACCAGGCACCAGTACAGGTTAGGAGCTGACCTGCTAGAAAGCAGCTCTGTGAAGAAAGACCTTGGAGTCCTGGTGGACAATCAGTTATCCACGGGACAGCAACATGCCCTTGTGGCCAAGAAGGCCAATGGTATCCTGGGGTGCACTAAGAACAGTGTGGCCATCAGGTCAAGGGTTCTCTTTCCCCTCTACTCTGCCCTAGTGAGACCACACCTGGAGGAACTTTGAAAATTCCTCATTCTGTGGAGGAAGATAAAACATTTCCTGCTCTGCAAAACTCCTAGTAAAATGTTAAGCAGGAGGTAGAACCAGTCCTTCAGTGAGAGGATCTCCATGTACCTCATAAAGGTTTTCAACAACCCACTAAACCCCTCTGACATTTATCCTTTTGGATCTCAAAGCTTTCAGCTGATACTTTGAGGACCATTTTGCTGTAATGCTCAAGTAGTAACATCTGGATTTGTCAGATAATTAGAAACTACTCCAGCATACAGCTTTGAGCTTCGTGGAACAGGCTACTTAAATGAGTAAATGCAGCAAGGAAAAACAGCTCCTCAGAAAAGAAAGTGTTAACCACATTGTCTCACTGCTCACAGGCACATCCTCAAAAAACAATGGAACTGACATGATCTGATAATTTGTCTGTTGGTTCAGATCTGTCAGGTCAGCCTCAACACAGCAAAAGAATTTCTATAGCACCAGCTAATTTGCCATCCATCTAGTGATCACCAAAGGTAGGCACTGAGAGGAGTCAGACCAGCTCCTGATCCAGCTCAGCCTTTTGTGACTCTGGTCCTTTTGTTGGGAGAAACTTACAGGTCCTTCTCATACCACCCCCTTCTGACACAGTCTGTTGGGGAAGAGCCTCCCTCCCTCTAACCCTGAACTGAAACACCAACGTTGTGCAGGAACTACCCCTGGAGGGCAAGTTAGGAACCAGCAGCTGTATCTGCTCAAGAGTTTGGTCCATCCCATCTAGAATTCAGCTGCCACCACATCTGTCTGACAAGGACAGGATCAACTCCCCTGCCCCTCTCACCTTTGCAGGGTTTGCCAGGAGCATGACTTGGGTGATGGCAGCAGGTGGCTGGATGGGATTGAATGGAGACAGCTCAGTGCCAGAGGGTGGCTGTAACTTCACTTTCATGGACTGCAAAGGAAAAAGCAGAACCTCAGGGATTACCTCCTACCTTGGGGACAATGAAAGATGAATGTACAGGCTGGAGAGATAACAGCACACACCCCAAGCTGAAGAGAATCAACCTACATGCAAGGATCAGGAAACAAGAGCCAGCCCAGCTCGTGCAATGTGATAGGAATAGGTCAGAGTCAGCCCAGAGTGCAGGCACTGCTCAGGTGAACACCAACAGCACCTTCCTATCCGAGTGCTCTTCTGTCAGGTTTTAATGCCAACACCTTCAGGTCAGTAAGCAGACCAAAACTGAGACTGGGCCAGTTTTCAAAAAACAAGCTGGCCATCTGTAATTATCCAGGTGTAATAAGACCAGAATGGAACATATTGTCAGAAATTCTGATTCTAAAACCCTCAAAGGTGGCTCTGTCCCTGTAACAGTCCTGCCATTGTACAGTCTGAGCCACCTTCAAGAACTGACACAGCTGGAAAATAGAGCACCAACTTCCTGTAGTTCCTGAGTTATCCTACTCAGCGTTTGCTGCCTCTGACAACCCCTTTGATACTTTGGGAAGAGGCAGAGCACAGCCTACAGGAGGGTAAGACCAGGCTGTCCCACATCCCTCACTTCACACCCAGGCCTTCTCAAAGGCAGCGTCATGTTGCCACAGGTCTAGGCCATGCATCCCTACCTTTGGCACAGCAGCCTGCAGCATGATGTTCCTCACAGGAAGAGGTGCTGTGTTCAGCATGGACACCACCACCACCAGCACGTCCGACCTTCCTGGTGGGCATTCCCGGGCAAAGTGCAGGAGGATCCGAAAGCCGTTCTTGTCATAGGCTGTCACTGGGAGGGCACTGCCTGCCACGGGGAGCAGAGGAGAGGAATGCAGGTTTCTGCTGCAGAAGATGATCTGCAGCAGCATCAGGCAATCTGACTGCTCACCTGGGACCTCTCGTCCTTCCCCTCCACTTCACAACCCCTGCCAAGAAGCTTTGCTTTTAAAACACATTCAGGGAAAGGTGAAAACCTTGAGATACTTACTGGGCTTAATGGATTCCAAGGGAACATGGACATTGGCCAAAGAAACTTCAGGTGCTCTCATGGGACTGCCTTGCTGCTGGAATGATGCTGGCTGGAAGAGAGGACTTCCTGAGCCTGCAGTGCAGCTGCTTGGGAAAGGAACTGGAGGGGCTCCAGGGGCAGTGACTGGCAGCCCTGTAGGTCCTATTAATGGGGCAGAAGTGATGGAGGTTGGCAAAGTAACCCCAGAGAACACTGAGGGTGTCCCCATGCCTTGGGTGGCAGTCCTGCAAGAGAGACAGAAAAAAACATGGGCAATGGAGCAGAAAGTGAAGCAGGCATCTCACCACAAACCTGAGACAGCAGCAGATCACAAGGACAAAGAGGTGGCCTGGAGCCAGATCAGAGTTAGTGACTCGTTATGGTCTCATGTAAGCAGGAAAGCTACAAGGGCAGTGGTGGCGGTGGGGTTAGGGATCTCTTCTCTCACCCAAGAAGAGAGCAGAGTCCACCCTGGCAAAGGGCTCTGTACCCTGGCAGCCTGTTCAGCTTCACACTACACATCTGAATCAGGCAACTGCACAACTGGTCCATGCTACCTGCCAGTGCTGCCTCTCCTTCCTGGAAGGGGGACTTCTCAGTATTAGCTTGTAAAATGAAACCCCCTGGGAAGAAAAACCACAATCATACGTTTCTACCCAAGTAGAGAAACAAAAATCTGCCCCTGCACCTGACACTGCAGCAAGCTTGGCTTTCTAACTGCAGAGACAGTGCACAGCCCAGGACTTCTGGTTACCCTTTGGCTTCTTCAAGGAGTTGTCCCAATGCATCCATCTTATGTGACATATTGCTCCCCACGGATGAGGTGAAGTACCCAGGAGCAGCTGGAATAGTCTTAGGAGGCCCCACAGGGGCAGCTGGTCCAGCAGAGAAGACAAATGGTGCTGAGGTTGGTGCTGGGATGCTGGGAGCAGTCTGAGAGGCTGTGAAAGCAGAGGGCAGCGCTGCTGACGTTCCACATGTAGTCTGTGATGTGTGATGGAGAAGAGGGTTCCCTGCAGGGTTGCAAGCAACAGTCACCATCTTCGGGTTAAAGAAATCCAGGCCCAACTGGTCATTCTGAAAGAGAGGACAAGTAGATGCTCCAACTCTCTGCTAGTCCCTGTTGGGGGGATGGCACCCTTACAGAGGGAGACAGATTTACTGCAAAAACAGGTGCTGGGTGGAAAGCAGCAAAGTCTGTGGCCTATGACAGGACTACATCTGATCTGTAATTTAAGGAAGTTCTAACTCATGGGGGACAGATGGGAAACTAAGAAGGCCAGGTTCAGTGACATCTACTCTGTTTAGACACACCTATCACAGATTTCAGAGTTAAGCCAGAGTTCCCCTCAGGAACAGCTGCCCCTCTGCCTGTATGTGTGATCCTGTTTCTCCACGGTGACAAAATGTGTCCTGAGAACCCCCACAATGACCATCCCTCCCTCCTCTCCCCTCAGACCCTCCTTTGTACCTCAAACATGCTCCACTGCTTGTTTTCTGAGGTCTCCTTCACTGCTGCAGGGGCTGGGTCATTCAGACCTGAAAGGAAAACCAGGGTAACTGTAGGAGGCAATGAGTTAGGTGTCCTTCCTTAGCAACTGTTTCAGTATCATCAACCCACTTTATTCAGCTCTGCCAGAGCCCAAGAACCTGATGAAAGACTGAAATGGGCTGCAAGTTTGCAATAAGGAAGAGAGACTGACAGCACCAGTAGCTGACAAGCCACCCCTGCACACAGCTCTTCTAACCCCTCCTGATTTGCAGTGTCTTTCTGCTGGTCACATCTGGGCTCCACAGTTCTGCAGGTTTCTCTCTGCAACCCCTCCAAGGCACCTTGCTGTCTGGCAAAGTGAGGGTGAGAGGTGAAATCTGTACCAACTGCAGGTCCAAGCACCTACAGATCAGCCTGCAAGTACACTCAACTGTTACTTCAGTGCTCCACTGCTTGTTTTCTGAGGTCTCCTTCACTGCTGCAGGGGCTGGGTCATTCAGACCTGAAAGGAAAACCAGGGTAACTGTAGGAGGCAATGAGTTAGGTGTCCTTCCTTAGCAACTGTTTCAGTATCATCAACCCACTTTATTCAGCTCTGCCAGAGCCCAAGAACCTGATGAAAGACTGAAATGGGCTGCAAGTTTGCAATAAGGAAGAGAGACTGACAGCACCAGTAGCTGACAAGCCACCCCTGCACACAGCTCTTCTAACCCCTCCTGATTTGCAGTGTCTTTCTGCTGGTCACATCTGGGCTCCACAGTTCTGCAGGTTTCTCTCTGCAACCCCTCCAAGGCACCTTGCTGTCTGGCAAAGTGAGGGTGAGAGGTGAAATCTGTACCAACTGCAGGTCCAAGCACCTACAGATCAGCCTGCAAGTACACTCAACTGTTACTTCAGTCAAAGACTGCACTGGGAAGATCAGAGTCTTCAATACTGACTCACTGCCCCAGCCTGATGTTCCTGATGATGCAAGGGAGTGGCCCGTGGACTCCCTTAGAAACCAAGGGCACATCAAAGACTGCACTGGGAAGATCAGAGTCTTCCATACTGACTCACTGCCCCAGCCTGATATTCCTGATGATGCAAGGGAGTGGCCCCTGGACTCCCTTAGAAACCAAGGGCACCTCTTGCTGGTTTCAGGCATGCCAGATGCAGCCAGCCCTGGTACTGAAGGATGAAAGCACCCTTTGCTGGGCCTCTCAGTGTCTTACCTAGGCACAGAAGCTCTTCATCCAGCAAGGAGAGGGAGTTGGCTGTGCTGTTCTGCTGGGAAGGGGCAGCTTCCCCCTGGCTGGAGGAACCACTCCGAGGCTGCGGGAATGTCTGGGGAGGAGGTGGGAGAATGGGAATCTCTGCTGGGGCTGCTGTGGGGGCTGGTGGCAGGACAGGGGGTGGCACTGGAGGTGGTGGGGTGTTGGTGACATCCAGTCCAGCAAGGTCAATGAGGGTGTTGAGATTACTTGTGGAGTTACTCCCTGCAGCAAACAGGAGAAGAGCACTACTAGGAAGGAAGGCAAAAGGCTCAGAGCAAACCCAACATAGAGAACAACCCATCAGAGAGATGGTTTCACTAACACAGATTGTGGCTTGTGGCTCTGTGCAACAGAGAAAGCCCACACATACTTTCCACCTGACCATCTGCTGTCCACAAGTTACTAAATCAACTCACGACAGGTAGGAAACGTCTACCTGAAAAGCAACATCTGCTCCAACCACCACTGCTCTTTCCCCAGTACTTCTTGTGGCACAATTCACAGTCTTTTCAAAATCTTTGGAGCTCAGATGATGCTTTGGGAGATCCTACAAAATTACAATCAGCAAACCAGGGAGCTGAGGAAAATACGTACAGTCTGGATCTATAATTCTCTTCTTACTTAGGACAGTCCTGTCCCAGTGAGATGCTGCCAGGCAGCATTATGCACTGCTCTGCTGCTCTCCAAGCAGAAACCTGTGATTCCCAAATGGTGATTTTGCCACACACATGTCCAGAGCCTTCAGTGGGGAAATTGAAGGGTAAAGTGGGCAACTGGCCTAAATTCACAAATGAAATTGCTGGAAAAGCCAGGACCCCTGGCCTGGGTCCTACTCTCTTGCTATTGTCCTTTTGATAAAATTGTCCTCCTCTTGCATGTCACCATTAAAAAGCAGGACAATTGTGGAGAGGAAAAGATAAAGAGAACTTCCAGCCACACAAAATGTGCAGATGCAGGTTTACTACTGATGCTATCAAAGGTTTCAATAATATGGAGCAACTCATGTACAGAGTTATCTGTCCACTGCTTAGGAGCCGTTTGGTGCCTCTCTGACCCACCAACTCTTGGCCACAAGAGCCACCAGACTTCACTACAATTAATAGGAAACCCCATCCAAAAGACTCACAGGATTCAAAGTTAAACAGCTGTCTTCCCAGGAACTCACCTTCCACTACAGACATCACAGGGAGATCCACTTCACCACTGATCACTTGCCCCTCTATTATTTTTTTATAGGAATTTATCACACGGGATAAATTGTCACTGGCCTGCAGGATATCCCCTACATGCAAGAGAGACAAAAATGACCTCCAAGTCTTTAGTAACTCTGCTCCCACAAATGCTGAGATTATTCCCTTACCAACTAACTAATCAGCATGAAAAAAACATAACTATTTGGCTATGAGCTGCATTACTCTGTCTTTGCTGTGCTTCTTCAGGCAACACCCTGACCTCTCTAGCTTTACAGTGACAACGAAAAAGTGAGTCCAAGGATTTGTTCCCCGCAGCAACGCCCTTCTCCTGCAAAAGCAGCAGGTGTCCCGCACCATCGCCCCCAGCCCCTCCAGCCCCCAACTCTACTGTCAAGTCCTTGCCTGAATTTAAATTATAAGCATAAAGAGGCAAGGATCTTGTCTTTTATCTGCTTGCTCAAAGTGCATTCACAGTGAAGAGGTGTTTTTCCAGCAGCCACTCTGTGCTGAACCCTTGCACAGTCCCAGGTCCCAAAAGCAATTAAAACAAGGAGAAGTGGAGCTCTGTTTACCCAGACTGCTGTCATTATCTTCTGTCTCACTGGCCAGCTTGAATAATGTCCTTCTTTTGGTTTCACACCTTTCATAGAGCTCCTAGGAAGATAGATTAGGACAAAAGGTTTCATCTTCCAGGAGCCACAGTCAGCAATACCCTCAGCACAGAGTGACCCCCAAGGCTGGCAAGCCCAGAACAGAGAACACAGCCTCTCTGTGCTGAAGGTGCCAGCGTGGCTGGACAACCAAGACCTCCTGTCCCTGCCCTGCCCACAGGGCTGAGATGTGACATTAGTCTGGGAGTCTAAGCACAATCTGCATTTTCATAGAATCACAGAATGGTTTGAGCTGGAAGGGACCTTAAAAATCATCTGGTTCCAGCCCCCTGCCATGGGCAGGGACACCTCCCACCAGACCAGGTGACCAGGTTGCTCCAAGCCCCATCCAACCTGGCCTTGAACACCTCCAGGGAGGACATGTTCAATACAACATCTCAGTCCTCCCTCACATCAGTTCTAGCCCAAAAGAGATGTTCCTTCCTTGTTTTACAGTAGTCCCTAAAGGCCCAAGGATGAGCAGGTTGTGCTGCCAAGATGATGCTTTGATTGCACTGCAACCATGTAGAGCAAGGTGGCAAGCAGGAAATGTTTCACAGAGACAAAGAGGTTTCTTAAGCTTCTTGCCATCGTTTCAGGAGCTTGGTGTTAAAAACAAGTAGTTTTAACTTTTTTAATTAGGTAACATGCAACTCTTCAAGGCTCTTCTCCTATCCAACCATTCCTGGTGGCTATTTTTACCTTCTTGATGTTCTCCCAACCCTGTACCACGAGCTAAAACTCTTCCTTTGAAGGGGAGGTCATCTTTTCTGTCCCACTGAGCCTTTAGTTTATCCACCCACTGTGCTGTAAGTTACAAACTGCAGCTTCTTGATTCTGCCACCCTGCATCTTTGGAGAACAGCTGGACCTCACTTGAAGCCTCTGCAAAATCAAGATATTATCCATGGAGTCCTTTGGTGAAAGGCACTAAAACATGATTATTTTCTTTCCTGCTGTTCCCAACATCTGCTCTTGTTTCTCCCCATTGCTCTCCATCTTACTGCACTGTTTGTAATTCTCTGCAAAACTCAAGTCTGGGAGAAGAAAGGACTAATTCCAGGATTTCTGGGAAGAAGGAGCAGCTCAGACTCACCTTCATGAGCTCCCTGTCAGCTTCTGATGACTCCTCTTTGCTGTAATGAGCCAACATCTCATTCAGCAGCTTCACATTGTTATTGACTTCCTCCAGCGTGTGCAGGCGTCTCGTCACCTTCTGAATCCGAGCCTCGTCCTTCAGGGGGTAGAACAGATACAGAGAAAGTGAGTGTTCCTGGAAAGGTCGACAGTTATCACCAGAGCAGGTATGATCTGTAAATCATGTCAAATAATGTCTAACTTAAAAACAGCACTGTTTGTAATTCTCTGCAAAACTCAAGTCTGGGAGAAGAAAGGACTAATTCCAGGATTTCTGGGAAGAAGGAGCAGCTCAGACTCACCTTCATGAGCTCCCTGTCAGCTTCTGATGACTCCTCTTTGCTGTAATGAGCCAACATCTCATTCAGCAGCTTCACATTGTTATTGACTTCCTCCAGCGTGTGCAGGCGTCTCGTCACCTTCTGAATCCGAGCCTCGTCCTTCAGGGGGTAGAACAGATACAGAGAAAGTGAGTGTTCCTGGAAAGGTCGACAGTTATCACCAGAGCAGGTATGATCTGTAAATCATGTCAAATAATGTCTAACTTAAAAACAAAAAAAAAATCACAAAAACCCCTCTCCAATTTATGTCAAGCGTTGGTTATTTTATTATCTTTTCACCACCATCCTAAAATGACACAATACCCCATTGTTCCAAAAAGTCTCATTAAATAGACTTTAATGTGTAATTGTAACAGTAAAAATAGAAATGTTCTCAAAAGTTCCTTTCTGACCTTTTCAGAAGACTTTTTTTTTTTTTTGGTCACATGATGCCATTGTATGAAAAAGGTGTGTTTAAAGCAAAACATTTACCAGGAACAACAAGCACTGTCTGGTAGAAAATGTCCACCCATCTCTGATTTGAGATTCCAACTACAGATGCAGCAGAATCTGCCCTGGGGACAGGAGAAGCTTGAATGGAAACATTGCAGTGACCTACACACCCTCTTCAGGCTACAAGCTACCCTTGGGTTTTTCTTGGCCAGAATCAAAGTGAGTGAGTCATTTCCTGGATTCCAGGGTCTCTGGTGATGCCATGGCTGGATGCACCACGGGAAGGTGTCCAAAAGGAAGGTGTTTCCATGAAGCCTCCTTGTGAGAAGACCCAGTCCAATGACTCAGTCCTCAGAATCCTGGGGTGGTACTGCCATGTTCTCACCAAACCCTGACCTGAGATCTTAAGTGATGTAGTTAACTATAATAAAGGGTACCCAATCCTTGCCCCTTCTTGCCCTGTCCTCCATCAGAGACACCAACTGTAGACATTTTTGTAATACAAACAACTCCCAGTTGGAGCTAATGTCAAAATTCCAACACACTTGTATCACACAGAGCCCTGCTAAGTTATCAGATGGCACCCCTCCTTTTTGGTGGTAACCACAGGGAGCGGATGCAAGTGAGCACTGTTTAGAGATTCTAAAAAATAAGAAAGGCTGGATGTCACTGCTGGTCAGTCTCATTCAGTCCCCACTACTCAACTACAGGAGGTACTAACAGCACACTACTGGAGTCTAAAAAACCTGAGTCCTGTCATTCACACCATCCTGAAGCTCTCCACCATTTTGAAGCCAAATTGTTTAAAATCTGGAAAGCAGACAGCTGATTGGGACCAATCCTTCAGGAATTTCTTACCTCTTTTACCATGGATTTTATAAGCTTGTTGGCCTCCTGTAAATCATCTGGGTTCTTGCTCTTCAGCAGCTTGGCTAGAAGCTGTATGACAAGAAGAGGATACTGAGGAAATAAATAAAGCCCCTTTGGCAAAGAGAAGCACCAAGGGGAATCTAACTGCACAATCCAGGGGAAAAGAGATCCAGCATACTATTACAAAGCTTACCCTGCTTTCATAGTTACAACAACCCCAGCAGGAGTAAATTATGGTTTATTATGTGAGTTGCTGCCTTCTTGCTTCTACACAGGACACATACTCTGAACTCTCAGAGACTTCTGACACTAGATAATGATCCCCCCCAGTCCGTAAGTTTTGGTCCTGTGTGTGAAATGTTCTCTGCCTTCTCATGCTCTAGAGCAGGATGGCACTTGAACCAGGAATAATCTCATAGTGATAACATAGATGAAGCTTTAGTTGGAACTTGAGTGGATAAAGTAACAAGTACACACCATCACCCAAAAATAAAAGTTGAATTAGTAAACTTTTCTTCCTTGTACATGTGCATCACTTTTCATTAGTGATTATGATACAAGTCTTCGCTATACCTTGGATTTTTCCTCATCATCAAACACAGTGTTTTTGGGACGAGGTGGAGGTGAAGGAATCAAGGTTCTGTCTGCAGGAATCACAGGATCAGACATAACGATCCCTGAAAGCAGAAAGGGAACCCCCATGGTTTGTACCTGCAGTCACACAAGGCAGTGCACCCAGTTATTCCCAGGCTGCTGTGGAAGCAACCACACAGCCCATCTGTCACTGTCCTAATGAGCAATAATAGGATCAAAACCCCTGAGCACACTGGTTGGAAAATGAAAGTTTTCTTTTATAAAGACCAAAAGCCCAGCAGCTCTGTTGCCATGTCCATACTGCTCCTCTAATAGCCAAGTATAATCAAGAGCTTTTCACTACTTTCTTTCCCCCCTTTCACATTAGCTCTTGAACCACTAAGTGAAGTCCCAGACAACCCAGCTTTGTGCCAACTCAGGGTGACATTTGTCAGTATAAATGGGCTGAGCAGGAAAGCAGAGAGCAGTGCAGAACAGGGTGAGGAGCAGAGCAGTGGGGAAGAGCCAAACCTCCTGCTTGCTGCACTGCCAAATCCCTAGATTTGTGGTCTACTTCAAGAGCTTTCCTGGAACCAATTTTTCTTGTGAGGAGACTGCATGCTTCTCAGCTGAACTTTTTTCTCTGTGCCTACACAAGAAGTTTGTTTCAGTTGACCTACAGGTACAAGGGTAAAGTGATCTAGTTGAAAGAACACAAACAGCTTCATGGAGGCTCTTCACAGAATCACTCTGGTTGGAAAAGACCTTTAAGATCATCAAGTCTTACTCTGCTTTAAATTACACTTGTTCAAATAATTTGCTTACTAGTTCCAGAAAAACTAAAAAAAGAGCCTACAAACCAAGGTACTGGAGAGTGCTTAGAAATATTTGCAAGGTGCTTAACTAAGCTAGCTAAAAAAGCCAACCCAAGTTGGCTAGTTAAAAAACCCATCTCAAGGCATTTAATGAAAAGCTTTTCAGGGAATCTCTCCTCTCAGAGCCTGCCTTGACCCCATGTCATTAGAAGCTGCCTATTTTGTGTGCTCCTGCTCAAAGCACAGCCTGGAGAAAATGCAGGAAGGCTCCCAACCTTGTCTCTTCAGCATGTAGTAGGCATCCTTGATTTTTGATTCCTCTGGCAAGGCCACTGTCCAGCTATACAGCAACTCAATGACTTTGGTCTTCACCTTCTCTGAGACTCGGTCTCCCAGGTACTAAGAGTGGAAAAAAGGTGGACATTCTTCACTTTTTGTTTTAAAAATATAAAGCCCAAACCCAGAGAATGGGATGTTAGTGATATACATGAAAAGGTGTATAATCCACGTTCCAAGATGCTCTAAGGTACATCTGTATAAGTGGAAAAAATGTTCCTTTAACATACTTCAAATAGCAGTGAGGAGAAGCTTTGTGATTATCTTCAGAAATGAAAAAGCAGCTATTCTGTTGGTTTCAGGATTATGCTATTTAAAAATGACAGCAATACTGATAACCACCCCCTTCCCTGTCTTAAAGGGAAGAATCTGGGAATACTTTGCTTCATCAATCATGCCATCAGATGTCTCTGTCTATTTTTTGCCACGTTAAACTGACCATGAATGTTGAGAGACTTAGCCAGGCACTTTTAACACCGTAAGTCAGCAGCAGAGTGAGGACTAGAGCTCTGTGGTGTGTTGCCAAGTCTCTTTTTTTAACCTCTGCATCACACCTCTCCCCCACTGATGCTGGGGTTTTGTTTGGCTTTTTGGAAAACACAGACCAAGCTTTGGAGCAGAACTGATGGTAAATACTGGTGGTAAATACATGCAACTTACAGAGAAAAATAGTAGGCAAAGCACAAAAAAGCCCTTAGCTAACAAATGATCTTGAATATAGGGTAATAAATGCAACGAGCCAGATAGAGCACTGCAAACATTTTGGATGTTGCCTGGAGCTTCCAGAGCTCAAACAAAATGTAAATACAGCCATAAGACTCTGGGACTAACCTTTGGAGACACGACTTTTATTAACTCGTTTAAAAAGCGGAACTTCCCTACTTCGTTATGAAATCTTCTCCCACAGTTCTTCATACAAGCTTCCAGCACCTGCATCCAAGTAACAACAGGCTTAAATGAACACCAACACCCTACAGCAATAGAGCAGCTGTGTCCTGCTTACCAGGGAACTGAGAGACCCATGTCAGTGGGACATGTCCTCCTGCTCTGGGATATGGGAGTGGATCTCCCCTCTTAAGGGGTGACACATCAGGTCAGGTTGGTCCTCCACTCTCATCTATGAAAACCTAAGTCACTTATCTCACCATCAGATCTCACAACAATGAACACAAACCTGCTGCAACTAAACCCCAACTGTTTCTCACTGCCCTATTGCTAATGAGCAATCTGGATACTTTAATTACACAAGTGTGCTCCCTCTCAAGGCCCACTCCCCCAGGCAGGGGGAATCAGGGCATCCAGTCCCAGCTAAGCCCCCTGGCACACACTCTGCCCCCTTATACTTCGCAAAGATTATGTCACGTGATATATAACTGGGTTTAAGAGGTGGGGGTGGGTAAGGACTACCTACTGTCAAGGCTTGCACTGCCTCCCATTCCTGTGGTGACTGGATTTTATGAGCCAGGAGTCTCACAGCTATCTGTGGCCTGAAACAAAGCAGATCCCCATGACAGACAAAGCAGGTTGAAGGATTTTCAGACTTTCACAAATGATGTATAAACAAGATGCCTTTCAAATAATTTTTTAAAAAATGCCATATAGTACTCTTCATCTTTCCATCACTGTACAAAGGCTAACAAGAAATGTTCAGGTCACCTCTGTAAGTATATATGAAAGGAAGAAAGGGCTGCCAGTCTAAGCCAGCAATTCCAGATTCCTGCTTGGGAGGGGCCAAACAACTCCCAGTACAGTCCCCAGCCCAGGAAATCACTACATTCTCTTGCATTAGTTTTCTTCTTCCAGAAGAAAACAATCTTTCCTTAGCTCACAGGAAAGCTGTGACTCAGGAGGTTTCCTCAATTAAGCCTTGTGAAGGTTTTTAACACACGGAGCCCCATCAGACACTAAGAGCTATAACCCCATTTTACACACTGGCAATCAGAGTAATTTTGGCTGGGTGAGAACCCTGCAGCTGCAGAAGTTGACGTTGGAGGCAGATTCAGAATTCCCTTTTTCCCAGTGCTCAGCCTGTGTTTAAGCCATCCTGCCTTTCACAGAAAAGAAACCACACTTTGCAGCATCTCCTTTCTTTTGTAGCCAGACCTTCCTTGCAATAGCATTATATATAAAAGAAACCATGAAAGGTTATGATCAAATTCTAGATTTTAAACTGTGAATGTTAATTTATTAAGTATAGAGCAGTTTCGGACACCCACCCTTCAAGTTCTTTGTTGATCTGGTCACAGAATCCAATGATGTATTCCCAGTCTTCTTGCCTGTTAGATGGGTTAGTGGCTTTATCTTTGGTAAGGGAGAGAGAACATATTACCAATCAAGCCAAGAAACAGTATAGAAGGTCATGTAGTTCCTAGAGAAAACCATTTGACAACCCCTGCCAGCTATAAAAAAAGGAGAAAGAAGTTCACACATGGTGTGTCTGTCCAGGGAAAAAGGTGTGTCCAAGTTGAGACATCCAAATATCCAGCAAGAATCACTGCTTTCCAAAAAAACCCAAATCTCAAGTACTTAGAAACACACTATTTCCATACTCTGAATGAGAGTACAAGATAAAATATCTGAGCTCACACAGTTTTTCCCTCTGCCTGAAATGCTCTCTCTTCCCATTTGGCTATAAAATTAAACTCCTTAAAGGCTAAGCCCTCATACTTTCTACATAGAAAATTACTTTTGTATTCCCTGGGAGTTTTGTAGAAATAAAAGCTGGAACATCAGACGTTTAATATAAGGAATTCAGCATTAACACTTGCTTTTAGAGTGCCAGCTGATTTGTTAGATGCCTCAGCATTCGTCCTGGGAATTATGAACTGAAATTTATTATTATGCATTGCGTTGTTCTTGCAACTATTAAACACCACAGCCTGTATCTGATCAGGAATTAAATTCCTATATGCTCCAACTTGGAGAGCAATGCTCTCCTGCCTGGGCTATTTCAGGCTCCTGAAGGATCCTCCCCTGGGTACCAGAACCTCACTTATTGTACTGACTGCAGAACAGTGAGGCTATCAGCACTTTTTCTGGGATGAATGCATCTTCCCTGTGTATTCTGCTTAGCTCTGATGGAGGACTGAATTTATAGTAGACAAGATTCCTGCTTTAACCTAATTCTCCAGCCAAGATGACTGGACACAGTAATTCTTCTATCTTTTAAGGGAAGAAACAGCACACTGTAGCTATACATCTAAGGGCTGGCAGTTAAGAAGCCTATCTCAAAATTTTAATACAAAGGTAATAGGTATGAGAAAGAATATATTGTTTTGCCAGATAGGATAGAGCAAGGCAGGGAGGACAGGAAAAAAACCAGTACACATCCCTGTACTTTCATTACAGAGGGAATGGATAAACACATGCTATATTACAAAGTGCAAGTTTTAATCATCATTAAAACATATCCTTTTATGTTTCCACTGGCAGGTAAAACCAGCTAACAAACATCTACTCTGAAACCTCTCTGAGTCCACCTCAGTCCTGCTACCACAGCAGTCCTAGAAGGCTTGCTCATCTTTTCCTCCTCATGGAAGGACAGCTGCAAAGCCATATTCTAAATTGTTCCATGGATTGCATCCGGAAAACATTCTGCAGAGGTAAATCTGTGTCTGCTGCTGAGTTTCATGGGACCCTGAAAAGCAAAAGGCAGCAGCCAGGGAGGACTAACTCTGGGATCTCATCTTGTTGTACTAGCTAAGCTACCAATCTGGTTTTTGAACTCAAAGGTTCAAAGAAGGCTTAGTTTAAAATGCAGCTGCTGCAGGGCCAAGTGACTGTTCAAAACATATGAGGCACTTAGACCTTCTTACCCCACTCACAAGTGCTGAACACCCTGCAAGTGTCATGAAACCAGACTTAACTACCTCAAGTTTCTTCATGCAAGTCAAATGGCATCAGACATGTCTCAGTGCTCCAAAGCACCCCTGCTGCTCTGCAGGCCTAGGTGACAGAAACAGCTCTTGGCTGAAGTTTGTGGAATTTATTGAATACAGGAAGAGCACAAACAAGTAAGGACACTCAACTAAATGAACTCTCTGTTGGCTGCACATCCTGAAATTCCTGAAAAGACCTAGTACAAACAGGGAAAAGTAACCAACATTTCCTTGTTCAATGTTCCTTTTAAAGCTGCTCCAAATACCTCAAAAGATCTCTTAGAATGACACTGGACTATTTCACACTTTCATACAGGGTACAGATTCATCTACTTTTTGAAACAAAAGCTCACACAGAAAGATAGCCAAGTCTCAGGAGGAGTGAGGGAAGTTATGTTCCATGTGAAGGAACTCCCAATTTCTAACTTTCATAGAATCTCCCTGTAAAACCTTAGTGCATGGAAGTTGGCAAGCTTGATCAGAAGTCCTGCCCTGGCTCTGGAGACTGACAAAACAGAACTGATGCTCAGCACCAGTCTCAGCACAGCCACATGAACAGAGCATCCCAGGGGAGCTTAATTACCTGCTTAACCTTTTCAGAACATCCCTTCATTAAGCTGCATCATATATCTTTAAAGATATAACCTAAAACCCTTTCTTCTTTGCAGAAGACTTAAAATGTGGGCAGGGAGCTCCTCTGCACTGCCTTATAAATATGCTTCAACTCTTACATGAAATTATTTGTTGCAGGAAGAAGTTTGGTGCCCTGGAGTACCAAATCCTTGGCTTCTGTGTTGAAACTGCCGACAAAGGCCCATTCAGCCCTGGGTATAAAGTTTGCTTTCAGAGACACTTGTTCACCGGGTACCACCCTGAGAACCCCATTTCACATTGGCAACCAAGTGAATCTGAATGAACAACCTGGGAAGAAAAGTCTCAGCACTACCCTAGCCCTGCCGCCACCTGTCTCAGCTCTCAGGCACTGCTGTGCTTGGGACATATAAAGTCACTTCATAATTGACCTAAACACTGAAGTACCAGTGCCTCAACATTTAGATGCATCATTAGATAGGAAATAAAGGTGCTTATTTTATCTATAGAGAAGCAGCATTGGAATGCAGAGAGCCACAGACCCATTAATTGCTTGGCAATGAATGCCCATATTTCCCTGGTTTTACTTCTTTATTGAAGTGAGAGAAAAGCCAATCAAACAAGGGGTTTCACCCAAGTCAGGCTTAGCATATGAACTGGGAATCCCCAGCCCAAGCATGTCAAATGTAAGTTTGCATATGCAGGAGGAGCAGGACAGTGCTGAGCCATAACAATACAAGAAAAAGAGAAATTAAGACAATCATAATATTTTATCCATTTACACAGCTGGACACTACCTAAGCCTGACGCGAGTGTGATGCAATAAGCTTCCTGTTGGATGCAGTCAAAAAGGCAGGGCTAAAGTCAAAGGATCCAGCTGTGTTTGTGCAACTGACACTATTTTCTAACCTCCTCTTCTATTTCAGCTCAGTGCAGAAGAGCCTGCCAGCAGGGAGAGAACAGAGAGGATCACCTTCTCTCATCCCAGCTGCCTGAAACGAGGCAGGAGACACGAAGATCATCACTGGCTGAAGTGCAGATCTTGCTGCAGTGTTAGGACACAAGGATGATGTTGCTTCATGGGTCTCTTGAGTCCACCTGATGACAGAGATAGGGCAGCATAGAAGGCTGCATCTCACGGGGAAAAAAAAAGATCACTGGCAAGAATTTTTCCGTTTTCGCATGACTGGGAAGCTGGCTGTGCTGCTGAGCAATGCTGGTCCTTTGGAACAGGCCCAGCAGGTATACACCCTCAAGGTTAGTGTTAGACACGGCCCAGCTGTGTGAGGGTTACAAGAATAAAAGCTTCAGGAGGCCTGGTGAACGCCCTCGGATGTGTCAGAAAAAAAGATGTGCCAGCCTCTACACTCTGCCTTCCTGGCCTGCAGGGCTCCTCCGGCAATTCACACACACTAACCGCTCTGTGCTCCCCTCCGAGGGGAGGAGCAACCTGATCACACCAGCACAAACCACTGGAGCAGTGACCAGGCATAAATGCATCCTCTGAAATGTGAGAACAACGCTCAAGCCTGAAGAAATGTGGACACCTCTGCAAACAGGAGCACTGCAAGATTTCTTACACTGAGCCCTTTAGTGACAGAATATCCTGCTGCTTGGCCAAGAGGGAGAACTTCTATCTTCCACAATTAAAAAACAACTCCACAAATCAAACAGTCAGGAAGCTTTCCAGGCTGTATAACCTAAAATATCCTTCCTACTAGAGATATTTTCAATACACAAACTGAACTTGGTGAGTCAGTTCTCCTCGGAGAAAGATGAAAAGGAAGGGATGTGGGTGTTTCTTCACTGGCTACAATAAAAGAAATCGACAAATTGTGGGAGTTCAGAAGAGGAGCAAAAAAAATGGTTAAGGGGACAAAAGGGATTAATCTAAAATTAAAAGAGCTGAAAACATTATTTAGCCAGTAACTCCTACAACAGATGATGATGTTTGAATTTTGTATTTGTATGTGTTTGAATTTGGCATGAAAATACCTAGAAAGAAGAAAGATTTAACCTTGTTTATGGAAGGATGACTCCATAAGGATAAGAGATTTTAGACTCTAAGGTGTTCAGGACAATGACCATCTTTTGCTGTTTGCCTTGTGCCACAGCATTTAGGAACTTCAGTCACTGATGTAATCAAACAAATAACTAGCAAGAAGAAAGCCTAGGCAACAAGCTAGTGATATAGGACAGCCTCTCAGGGACAGCAGCAAGAGCCCCTGTGTGTGGAATATACAAAAACGATTACTGTTACGACTGATTCATTCAAGAATCACTTCCCAGTCCATCAGTGCCAGGTTCCTACAGCCAAGAGCCAAAGATGAAGGAGACTCAGGGGCAGACACACAACAAGGACATACCAGCAAGGGCTGGGGATGAACAAGCCATGTGCTTTCTTCCTTTTCCCTGTCTCTAACATTTAAGATCCTGTGATAAACAATGCCACACCTTGACAAAGGATTTTTTACTTTTCCAGTCTGTATGGAACATGCATCCATAACTCCTACCCTGGAACTGCAGCTAGGCACAAGGCAGAATCCATCTGCTTGAAATGCACAGTTGTATAACACACGAACGCAATTTATCTGGGGAGTCCCCACAGTTCCCAGCCTCACAATCAACACAGGTCCATCTGCTATAACCAAAACCAAGACAAGGGAAAAAGAGAAGGCAGGGACAGACACATAACGTGAGCCTGTACGGTCAAAAAAGAGCAACAGCCTCACAGATGCTGAGCAGGGCAAGCTACAAACCTGACCACTCCTGACACCTCCCAACAAGCAGACCGATGCTGAAAGCCCCGGAGCCGCTGCTGTGCCCCTACAACCACAGCTCTGCACCTCTCCTTCCCCGGCCCTGCCAGGGTGAGCACCGGGAAGGGGGGAGGCCCCAAACCCTTCCCTCCAGAGGCACAAACTCGCGCGTGTGGAGGTGCCCGCTGCGGGGGAACCGTCCCCAGGCTGCCCACACACCCACACCCT